GACCTCAATTTTCATATTCTTCACCTATTGTGTCCTTTTTTTTCTTCTTTTCCTTCATTCTCTCCCTCAGTTTTGCCCTTCATTTCTTAACTCTCCTTCTCATTATGTTTCCCTCTTTTTTCAATTCTTTTCCCTTCTTTCTTGTCCTTTTCTTCTTCCTCTTCTCTGAACTCTCCTTTTTTCTATTTGTATTCCACTTTCTCCTTTCCCTTGTTTAATTCTGCTATTTCATTCTCTTTTTCTTTCATTTCGAATCATCTCTTCTTTTTTTTCTTCTTTTTTTTTTCTAAATACTTCTTCGTTGCTTATATTTATTATATTTTTCCTTCTCCTTCTACTTTCTAGTTTATTCTTTACTTCATCTCTTTGCTTTTTCTACTTCTCCATCTTTCTCCTCTCCGTTGTTCTCATACTATCTTCCTTTTTCTACCCCCTCTCTACTCTATGTTACTTTTTTCTTTCTCCTTGACTCTGTTTTATCTTCTTTCTTTTTCTTCTTTCCGTTTATATCATGAAGTCTTTCTTTCCGTCCTCCTCCTCTTCTTCTTCTTCTTCTTCTTCTTCTTCTATCCTTCATCCTCATAATCTTCTTTTTCTTATTTCTTTCCATTTCTTCTTCTTCTTCTTTCTTTCCATTTCTTCTTCTTTCTTTCCATTTCTTCTTCTTCTTTTTCTTTTTCTTCTTCTTCTTCTTCTTTAAATCTTAATATCGTCATTCCTCTTACCTTTTCTTTCTTTACTTCTTTCTTCGATTCAGACCAGTGTCTATTTACTACATTTACTTTTCCTTATCTTATGCCTTGTCAATGAACATTATTTCCCATGTTCCTCCTACACCGCCCACGCCTTACCCCCGCCTTATCCCCGCCACGCCCCGCCCGCCTTACACCAAAACTTTTTCTTTCTCCTACCAGCCGTCACTCTCCTTCCTACTGAAATATTTCAACAACTCAATTTCTAGGCCACCACTCCCACGCCTTCACACACACACACACACACACACACACACACACACACACACAAAAAATATATATATATATATATATTCAAAATATAGGTGAATATATATATATATATGAGAAGTTTTTCAGTACAATTTTATATATATATATATATATATATATATATATATATATATATATATATAAGAGTTTGTGCTGAAAAGTTCTGAGGCGGATCAGGAAGGCCATTCTTTCCGAAATTTGATGTTTAATTATGTGGTTAGTGAAGTGGGTCATGTGGTTAGAAACACAAACACAGGAAATATACACAAATATAACACACACACATACACATAATATATATGCCAACAAACATATCGACATATGTGTGGCGCCTGAAAAGTTCACGGGCCGACCCACTTTCCAAAATCTGACCAAATGACCAAAGATTTACATTTGAATCAATTTTGTTGGGCCGAGAAGTTTTCAGCTCCCCATATATATATATATATATATATATATATATATATATATATATATATATATATAAAGCTCTGTAAGAGAAGGCGGATTTAGTGTTGATGATATGCTTGGGAAATAATACTTGGCCTAATTTTCAAGGAATTTCAACCGAGAACATGCGCATATACGTACGAGCAAGAAGATGAGAGAAGTAATATAGTGAGACGAGAGAGAGGAGGAGAGAGAGAGAGAGAGAGAGAGAGAGAGAGTGATTTATGCGAGCGATCGAAGAAAGGAAGGTCGAGTGGGGGAGTTGACCTATATTCTACGCGCACCCTCCCGCCAGCGAGCGGCTTCGCGTTGCATTTGGCAGCCATGTTAGATCGTTTTTATATATGCAACTGGGTCGGCTGTAAATAAGAAGAAGAAGAAGAAGACGAAGAAGAAGAAGAAGATGAAATTCCATGTGTCACGCGCAGGTCACATGTTACGGTTTATTTGCATAGAATTCGGTACCTCCCCTCGCCCACCACAAGGCCATTCCCACACACGCACACGCATCTCATTCACGTACAAGCTCTAACACACGTACACATGAACGACGCGCAGTCGAATCAGCGGAAGGCGAACATGCATTTGATTTTTCATCGCCAACACGAAGGCACGGGCTTTTAATAGAGTTGGTAGTATTTGCTAGCAAGATTACTTGACATTGTCCAGCTTAGAGTAGCTTTCTTATAGGTACATTCAGATTAAATTTAGAATAAATATATTTGATTTTTTGATTTCCGTTAGTACTATGCATTAGTATTTCAGATAGTATAGATATATCATATAATTATCAGAGTTAGTAATATTGATTTATTGGTACTTCATGTTAAAAGTCCTATAAAAAAGATTGAAAAGATAAACGAAAGAAAATTAAAATAAAAGGTAAAAATTTGTGGTAGAGACCAGTGGCGTAGCTAATCGGACCGCCCCGGGGTTCCTGCACAGGAGGGGTGACACAATGTCACCCCCAACAAAATTTTTCAACCAGGCTAAGGTGCCAAAAATAGTCTGAAAACAGTGGTGGAGACACAGGGTTTCGCAGGCAGGCATACGACCCCCCCAGAAATAATTTATGACCCCCAGTTTTGTACCCCCGTAAGAAATTTTCTAATAAATTGTCGGGAAATTTGTGAGTAGGAAAAATAGCAATGTTTTCATCTTTTGATTTGAACTGATTATTTTGTGGTATTGGATTTTGTCTTGGATCATACATGTAAACAGTAACGTACCGGTCAGTAGAGTAAAGTAGAGGTAGAGCATGTATGAAAATTTAGCTACAGCTAACCATTCAGCATAGGGTGAATCGGGGTCATTGGGGTGACATTTGAGCGGACCACCCTGGGTGACGTTTACTCTAGCTACGCCACTGCTAGAGACTATACGCAGAAATTGACCGGCTCTGTTTTACAGACATCACGCAGAAATTAAACGACGATTTTTCTAGAGACATCACGCAAAAATTAAATGCTTTATATTAGACACTATACGCAAAAACTGAACGGTTTTGTGCTGGCGACCATACGCAGACTTTGGCCGGCTCTATTCTACAGATATCACGCTGAAATTGAACGGCTTTATATTAGACATAATACACAAAAATTGAACAGCCTTCTGCTAGAAACCATATGCAGAAACTGAACGGCTTTATATTAGTCAGCATACGCAAAAATTGAACGGACTTGTGCTACAGAATATACGCAGAAATTGAACTGCTTTATTCTCGAGATCATACTCAAAATTGAACGGCTTTATCTTGACACAATACGCAAATATTGAATGGATTTGTGCTACAGACCATACGTAGAAATTGAACGGCTTTTTATTTGACTCCACACGCAAAAATTTAACTAGTTTTTGCTAGAGACCACATGCAGAAATTGAACAGCTTAAACACCATATGCAAAAATGTCACAGATTTGTACGATAATTCATAAGTAGAAATCCGTAGTAACTGAATAGCTTTTAGAGTCAATACTCAAAATTTCAACAGCTTGATGTTACCGTCTATACGCAAATATTGAATGGTCTTATATTAGAGTTCATGAACCAAAATTTAACATATTTAGCGTCCATACGCAAATATATCCCGGCTGAGATCATCTCAGGTCATCTCCCAGTTTGTCTTCCTTTGATGGTCTTGTTTCTCGCGTGAAAAACCTATTTCAGGATAATAGATGTAACGTGGATTTTTTTTTTTTTTTTAAATATATTACGCTTTATTTTCCATAGTTTTGCTACACACGTTTACGGTGTCGCCACCTTCATCAGGTAAAGAATGGATATTTCCACATATTATTAAAAGGAATTAAATTTTCTTGTTTGTCGGTGTTAAATATTCTCGATATTAGACATTCTCTTTTTTGTGTTAGTGACCCTAATGTCTTCCTTGATCTGGCAGTGAAAAAGTTCTGCGTGAAGGGAAATAAAACAATTAAAACTGGGTGAAAAAGATATCTATATTCCTATCTTTTAATGACTCCAGTGTGTTGTTAGATCTATTTCAATTTTTTGTTTTGGAAATATCAACTCTTTGCCTGATGAAGATCGCGAGACCGGAAACTCAACTCGTGTAGCAAAATTATGGAAAATAAAGCATAATATCTTAAAAAAAAAAATCCACATTACAACCATAAACGTTTGCGGTTTCTCTTTTCTTTTTAATATACACACACTTTTCTCTCGTTGGAACTACTATAACCTCTTCCCTATATATATATATATATATATATATATATATATATATATATATATATATATATATATAATTACATTTGATACTTTTCGGACGAGAAGAAAATTCAGTCAGAAATCGTTCGAAGTTCATTCCGGAAGAAATATGATCCAAGTTTTCAACAGGAAGTTGTGGATAGCCATGATCGTCTATGTTATGAAGGGACATGGTATATAAAATAAGAATTCTTTTAATGAATATTTCCTTCGTTAGAAATAGAATTATAATAATATTACTAATACTGCTATTGTATGTAAACATAATATGACACGGAGCGATCGGGGAAAATGGAGAATGAATTTAAGTGTTAGATTTGATCTGCAAGCAATAACAAGTTATCTTAGCTCAATATTTACAGCACCTACTGCGCACAGACAGGTTTTTCTGGGCAAAGGGGTTATTGGGTTGGCTGTCTCCTAAAGATTAATCTTTAAAAAAGGCGGGGATGTAATAGATAAGTTGATAGATTTTACAAAACAGTTATTGTGAGTGGGCAGTTTGTTGACATGAAAATGAACAAGTGATACAACCAGAATTTTTAAACCTGTCAGAAACACTGGCTGACAAGTTATTCTGTCTGTAACAAGTTAAAGATGGAATGTTTTTCGATTTAAGGCTCTTGGAGCCGTGCAGCGAAATAGTTGTTTTGACAAGATGCCAACGGAATATTCAGGTGATTGTGTTGCTCGAATATAGATATAAAAGTAGGAGTCAGAAATTAGAGTCGGGGAGAGAGGACAGACGTCTTCTCAGTTTTGGGGGAGGCGATGAGTATGTCGTAGAGTTTAGTCCTTCTAGCTCTCAAAGGCCTTCTATTATTGAGAGCAGTTTATTGAAGAACAATATAATTTTAGCGGAGAATACGAGACAAGACAATTGATGAAAATGCAAAAGAAAGAAAAGGAGAAAAAAGAAAGATAAAGACGAAAGGAAAAACAATGAGAAAAGAAAGAAATAAAGAAAGAAAGAAAGAAAGAAGCAGGAGAGAGTGACAAACAAAGAAAGAAAGAATTGACTCGCTGCAAACGTTGAATCTGAAATGGTTTTGAAACATTAAAAAAGCTTTAAAAAAAGATTTGATTCTGTATTATTCCGCTTGGAACTGTTTTACTTTGGTCGTTATTTCAAACACCGGAAAAAAACGAGTTCAACATCAGATTAGTATGTGTAAAGTGACAACAAGCCTATTACCTCGCAACATTGCATTTGCTTCCAACAGCACTGGTTGCCCATTACCGTTGATATACTGAGGTAAAAAAAAATAATAGTCAAAGATTAATTATAGTTGACAATGCTTCATCGTATAATAAAATTCAAGATAATATTACTACTAATAAAACTACTCGTGGAAATAAAGCAATTGAAATTAACATGAAAGAAATACTAGACAAAAATGAATAATGGCTGCCAACGCTTCATCTAATAATAAAATTTGAGATAATATTACAACTACTAATACTACTAGTGGAAATAAAGCAAGTGAAATGGAAATGAAAAAAATACTAGTCGAAAATTAATAATGGCTGACAAGGTTTCATTTAATAATAAATGGGGATGTCAATGTGTCACTGTGTTAATTTTTTCTAATTAAAGCGACACAGCTCTCTAACTTTCAATAGCTCATCTTCTTTTTTTCTTCTTCCTATATATCTATATAATAAATGCGAATGTCAGTGTGTCACACTTTTCAACTTTACTCCTAGAAGACGTAGCCCTACATATACAATTTTGGAACAAAGCCCACTCCGTGGGAAAATTAAAAACATCCTGAGTCGTATCCGGACCCGCAATCCTGAAATTTTGGATTCTCAAGTTTTTATTACTGCGATTATTTTCAAAGATTTTTTACGTGATTTTTTGCGATGAATTTTTTCTTTTTTTTTTTTTTTGTACGATAACAATTTATATAACTTGAAAATAAATTTGAGAATAATCCAACAAAAGTCACTCATGAGATAAAATAAATAAATAATTGTTTGTACGTAAAGTAAGGACCTACGTACATTAAATTGTCTTTAAATTAAGTTGCGGCAGAAAAATTAAAAAGTAATCTCAAATATTAATGCAATACTTAAATGCAGCGATCAGTTTTGAGTTCTGTAGTTTATCGTTGCCTATCGCATCTACTCCTCACTACCTATTGTAATGAAGGCCCAATTAATCCACCATATGAGCTAACTTAAATGCCATTCGATTGGACGGCTTTTACAGTAGATGAATAATAAAATTCAAGATGATATTACTACTACTACAAGCGGAAAGAAAGCGAGCGAAATAAAGATGAAAGAAATACTAATAAAATATAAGTAATAGTTGAAAATTATTCATTTAATAATACAATTCAAGATAATATTACTACTGCTAATGCAACTAGTGTAAATAAAGGAAGTGTAATTAAGAGGAGAGAAATACTAGTCAAAAATGAATAATGGTTGATAATGCTTTATCTAATAATAAAATTCAAGTTAATATTGCTACTAAAATAATACTTGTGTAAATAAAGCGAGTGAAATGAAGATGAAACACGAGTCAAAAATGAATAATGGCTGACAATGCTTAATCTGATAAAGGTCAAGATAATATTCCTACTACTGATACTAGAAGTTTAAATAAAATGAAATTAAGAAGAAAGTCTTTTTTTCTGATGGCAATACCTAAAAATTAAATGATAGTAAATATCTTGAAATCTTCATTAATAATTTCCTTTTTTTCTTTTTCAGAGAATCGTGGTTTGAATAATTTCCATCTGCTGAAGATTTTTTTACGTTCTCTCGGACATTGCCTATTTGATGGCTACACAATGTCCATTTTTGTTGGTCTGTATCATTTGAATGTTTCGTTTTTTTTTGTGTTTTTTTTTATTACATATTTGAAAATTTCATCGTCTACTTTGTGTCTGCACGTCCTAATTGTAAATGTATCCTTGAAGGATCTAAGTCTTTGCTGATAGAATGAGGCACTATATAGCCTCTAACAAATATTCTGTAGATAACTTAGACTGTTTAGCTCTTAAATTCTCTTCGCATTTTATTCTTGGCTCATCTAGCGTATCTTTCCCTGACTTTTCACTTAGATCTGAGTCTCTGTTGAGTGAAATAATAGTTAATGAAATGCATCTGGCTCCTGTTAATCTAAAGTTGTGATGGTTGATGCTTCCTAAGTCGGTCCGACATCGACCGACGTTAGGAACTTGAAATTAGTTAATGACGCAGCAATCTAGTTGTGATGGCCTTCAATGTCCGACATCGACTCACTCAACTCCATTGCTACAACTGCTACTACTACTACTTATTATCTGTGGGAGAGTCCATTTACCATAGAATAGGTAGTATAACACTTTGGAATAAATGACTGGCTGCTTCCTGCTTTCCGGCTCGTTGAAATCCTCTTTTGTTTTCTTTAAGAAATCAGGTAAACCACCTGATCCTTCTAATTATCGACGTGTTAGACTTATACCTCTTTTTGGCAAAGTACTAAAGGCTCTAATCAACTATGAACAGGTTAATCACCGCACATCGCTGGGTCTTCTTTTTGATAATCAATGTGGCTTTCGTTTCTCTAGGTGAACTGCTGATGTATTAATGATCTATCAAGCTTTAGATAAGAATAGCGAAGCTCGGGTTGTTTCAGTAGTAATATTATCTAAAAAAATTAAAATAATTAGCAGTAGTAATATTGTCTTGAATTTTATTATTAAATGAATAATTGTCAACCATTATTTATATTTTATTAGTATTTATTTCATCTTTATTTCGCTTGCTTTGTTTCCGCTTGTAGTAGTAGTAGTAGTAGTAATGCTTTGAACGTCGCGAAAGTATTCGACAGGGTTTGGCATAAAGATCTTCAAAAGTTGAAAGTTTATGGTATTTCTGGACTGATTCAATCTTTCTTATCAAATCGCGAAATGAAAATTATCATGAATGGCCATCCTTCTATATCATTTTGCATTGACGCAGGTGTTCCCCAGGGTACTATCCTTGGACCTACATTTTTCCTAATTTCCATCAATGTCTACCCTGGTGTTTTCAGATTTGAATTCGTTATCTATACTGATGAAGCAACTATTTACTCATGTTTTAATGGTACGTTTTATCGCTTTGATACGGTCAAATTTGCAGCTGATCTCAAAAGTGACCTAACATTTGTTGTTAATTGAGGCAAGGAATGGCTCGTTAATTTTAACGTATCCGAAACAAAACTGCTTACTATTAATCGTTTGCGAGAGCTTTGTCTGACTTCCATCATTATGGCTGATGTTCACCTCAATGAGAATGACTTCTAACGTTCTCTGCTAATATGTAGTGGGCAGATTATATTAAATCAGTTGTTAGGTCTGCTGTGAGGAAATTTGGTTCACTTTGTTGTGCTATACATTCTCTCTCTCTCTCCCAGAATCTCGCTTATATATTTATAAATCTACCATTCGTCCATGCTTCGAATATTTCTGCTACATATTGTCTGCCCCCCTATATACTTAGAATTTTTTTATAAAATCCAAAGAAGAATCTGCAGTGATATTGCTCCTAACCTGGAATCCCGGCTTGTTCTGGTGATCTTTGCTCTATGGTACGTAGACTTTATAAATTTAAGCGCAGTACTCGGTTGGCAACAAGGTCTAACAGCTAACGAAGATGACAGGGCAAAGAAGACTGTTGTCTATAAAGCTGACCATACCGCGCAAATGCAGAGCAGAATGTTCGACGCTGGCCTCGCAGTAACACGGGCAACTTCTGACTGCGCACACTCCCTCTTACTTACGCCTCAACTCGACTTCACTCCTTTATAGCAGTAAAGTCTAAGAATAAAATCGGGTTTACTGCTAGACAATTCTTGTGTTTGTCACTTGTGAGATAACGATCTGTCCGAAGGGTAATTTTTAACCCCCAATCGTTTGGCTGAAATAAACTACACCTTGTCAACAAACCTGATGTCTCGTCTGAGCTGCAACGCAATTCTTTGCTAACAGTTTCTTTTTTCGCACCTCTCACCTGTGGAACTCTTTTCCAGCTTTTTGCTTACCAGTCAGCTTTGATCATCAAAAATTTAAATGCAATCTCAATCGTTATCTTCTGTCTTCTTGATTCTTTTATCTCTCTTTAATAATGTTTTATTTTTCTTAATCTTTCATACCTTGTGTCTTAGTGGCTTTATTGCCTTGCTTAAAGGTGGAATTTTTAAAAGAAAGATAAATAGAAAGACAGGAAAGAAGGATAGATCCAGATATAAGAGAGAGAGAGAGAGAGAGAGACCGACAGGAACAGAGAGAGAGGTAGAGAGAAACCCAGACAGACAGACAGACAGAAAGAGACAAATAGAGAAAGATAGAGAGAGAAAGTAGAGAGAGAGAGAGACCCAGACAGACAGAAAGGGGGAGACTGGTAAAGAAAGAAAGAAAAAAAGAAAGAAAGAAAGAAAGGAGGGAAGGAAGAGATACCGAGACAGACTGACAGACGCACAGAAAGAAAGAGATGTGGCTACAAAATAAGAAAGAAAGAAAGAAAGAAAGAAAGGGAGAGATACCGAGACAGACAGACAGACAGACGCACAAAAAGCAAGAGACGTGGTTCCAAAATAAGAAAGAAAGAAAGAAAGAAAGAAAAAAGAAAGAGACCGAGACAGTTCGCTAAGAAAAAAAAAAGAAAAAAAGAAAGAAAGAAAAGAAAGAAAGAAAGAAAGAAAGAAAGGGAGAGATACCGAGACAGACAGACAGACGCACAAAAAGCAAGAGACGTGGTTCCAAAATAAGAAAGAAAGAAAGAAAGAAAGAAAGAAAGAAAGAAAGAAAGAAAGAAAAGAATAGATACCGAGACAGACAGACGCTAAGAAAAAAAAGACACCGGTTTACAAAGAAAGAAAGAAAGAAAGAAAGAAAGAAAGAAAGAAAGAAAGAAAGAAAGGAGAGATTGAGACAGACAGACAGACAGACAGACGCACAAAAAGAAAGAGACGTGGTTACAAAATAAGAAAGAAAGAAAGAAAGAAAGAAAGAAAGAAAGAAAGAAAGAAAGAAAGAAAAGAATAGATACCGAGACAGACAGACGCTAAGAGAAAAAAAGACACCGGGTTACAAAGAAAGAAAGAAAGAAAGAAAGAAAGAAAGAAAGAAAGAAAGAAAGAAACACCGACAGAGACAGACTCAAATAAAGAAAGAGATCGAGTTACATAGACATAATGCAAAAAAGAAAGAAAGAGAGAGAGAAAGGGATAATGAGACAAACAAAGAGAGAGACCGTAATATACAGACAGAAAAATAGAGAGACATAGACAATGAAATAGAAAGATCGAGATATATACATACATACACACACACAGAAAGAGAGAGAGAGAGAGAGAGAGAGAGAGTGAGAGAGAGAGAGAGAGAGAGAGAAACTTGGTTAGACACAAAGAAAAAACAAAGGATCGAAACAGACAGCGAGAAAGAAAGCGAAATATTTTCGCTCATATTTTCTAAGCGTAGCTCAGATGTGGCACAAGGCCAAAAGTAAAGGGCGCTCAGTAAGGATGGAAATCACTACTCAGTCGTAATTGATCTAGTTAGACAAGCTTGCTAACCATTACTCCACGTTGCAGATCCTCCTAATATACTTATATGAATGACATGTTCATATGAATATCTAACTTGCTTGATAAAGAAATACTCAAGAACAAAATGAAACTGATAAAATAGGGAAATGAAGCCAGTTTGATAAACAGAAAAATAATTAGATATGAAATGAATAGAAGAGATAGGTATTAACACACTGAGGGATAATAGATAATATATAAAGACATTTTTCCTAACATATGCATATATAATTTACGTTCATTAAGATAAAAGTTTGAATTCCATTCGAGTTCGTTATGTTCACTTCCACGCAAACAGCCTTGGGAAATGTATATATCCATCTTTTCTCCCATCTATAGGTTGAGAAGAAAGACAGACTGTCCTAGAGGCTTGGTTGGCAACCAGTCTACAGCAGAAAGAAACGGTGAGTTGAGGCGTAAGAAAGAAGGAAGGTGAACAGTCAGCGGCTGTCCGTGTTTTTGCAAGGCCCGCGTCGGTCCTTGTCCTCTTCCTTTGCGCGGTATGGTCAGCTTTATAGACAACAGGCTTCTTTGTACTGTCATCTCCGTCCAAGAAACAATTATTCTTACTTCCGTCAATATCTCTTAGTCTGCGCCTCTTGTACTTTGAAGTCGTCTCCAATTACTGCTAGCCGTCGGACGAAAATAAGTGTTTTCTATCGACGTGTCTTAAATTTTATTATAACTTGCCGTTACATCTAGCCAATTCATCTGTAAGACTTTGTTGCAAATCGAGTACTGCGCTTAAATTTATAAAGTCTACGTACCATAGAGCAAAGCTCATCAGAACAATTGCCATGAAAATATTTATAGGGAAAATCTGCCTAGTCAGTCATGAATCGAAAGAGACATGATCGCCCAAGCATGTATCATGTACGGTATTTAACTGAAAGAATCAACAGCGATTTAGGCGAGGAAGTAGTGAAGAGACATGATCGTCCAAGCGTGTATAACCTATCGCACTTAACCGACTGAAAATAAATATTCTGATATTATCTTGTGGTAAAGACATAAACGCCAAGGAAATGATAAAAAAAAACCGTCTCAGAATTACTTTAAAAAATGTTTCGGAGACTTCATCAGAAAAAAAAAAAAAAAAAGACGAAGATTATAAGCGTAGTGCTATAAATAGAAAGCAAGGACGAGGAAAAAAAGCACCTCTCCGAAATTTAAAAAAAAAAAAAATCAGTTTCTCTTTTGTTGTTTAGATGTTACCACAGCATTTCAGCCGTTCCATTCTACAGCCTTCGTCATGTGTATATAACAGTATATAAGAAAAGAGAGGAGGGGTAGCTTTTTTTTTCCAGGGAAATGAGTGTAAACAGAAAAGAAAATTCAGTAAATACAGACTGATGCTTGAAAAAGAAAAATAGTCCAATAATTTGAGCAGCTTTCGGAGTGATAATGATTCCTCACAAAAATATAGAAAGTCATCTCCTATTCTTGCTGTTTGAAATCAAATCGAGTATTGACAACACGCACCATCAAGATATAAGCTTTTTAGTTCAATGAAGCATCTAAAAAAAAAACGCCATTATCTACAGCACATTTATTGATGCCACTGCCAAAATAAAAAACGGTGGGGTATCTCTTGTGATTTTATCGACTAAATTCTGTCTTGTGGAATGGTAATTCGCATTCTTCCTTATTCTTTTTTCATTCCTTCTCTTTCTTTCTTTCTTTCTTCGGTTTCCAGCCTGCTTTTCCCCTATTTTATTCCTCTAACTCCCCCCACCACTTTATGCTTGTTCTTTTTTTCCCGTCATCCTAGCTAACAATCATCCGCCCACATTTTCTACTTTATTTTCCTTCTTATCCATCTCCTAAACAAACAATCTCTCCCTCTTCGTCTCACCTACCTACCTTCTTTTACACTAGTTTTGAAGTCTTTCCCGCTTCTTATCAAATACCCTGACGAAAAATAAAAGTGCAGAAACACGAATATATGTGTTTCAATTTGCACAAGGTTAAAAATATTCTTGTGTCCCAAATACAGTAATTTTCTCCGTGGGATAATTATTTTTTTCCACGTTTATTAACCATATCCAGTAGAATCCCTGACAACCGGAATAAGAAGGTCTTCCGGATCTGAGGAATTTGTTACAAAGTCCAGATATGAGGAGTTATATTTAGATTAAAATAAAAAAACTGAAATCAGTTTTAACATTTATTTTCAATGTTTTATAGTAAACAAAATAAGCTAATGGTGAGTGAAATATAACGGAATTGATTTTAAAGAAAAAGAAATAAATTATGTAATGTTAATGAAAATTCATTAAATTAAGTATGCCATGTATGCAAAACAAATAATGGAACGAGGATTTTTTAATCGCTGTTGCATGATGATTCTTTCTCTTCTAATGTCATTCTCAACTTTTTCCGCATTTCGTTTTGCTTTTGTTCTTGAAATATTTTAAATGAAAGACTATTTTTAACTCTGCGTGCGTTATTGCAATCGTCATAGCTGAATGCTGGCTTTCTTTCCATAAAACTGACAACGTTTTCAATAGGTTTTTCAATTTCAGTCTAGGTTTCATCACAATCATGCATCTCGTTGCTATCTTGTTGCAGATGTGTCTCGTTGTCATCCTTTCTTCTTATTCCCGCCATTTTTTGCACCAATACAAGTTATTAGGGTGAAATAAACATAAGCAATTATCCAAAGTAAATCTGCTGTTCTTGCCCGTTAATTATGTCACGCGTTGCTTTCCCTTGTCCCAATTCCACTCTATCCTCCCTGTGAGTATCAGATTTTCCAAGCACTTCTTTCTCATTACGTGTCTCAGAAATTTCAGCTGCCTCTTCCTGATGTTAAATATAAGTTTTCTTCTTTGTTTGCATCTTTCCCAAAACCTCGACGTTGCTCACATGCTCAGTTTATGGTATCCTTAGCATCCTTCTGTATAAACACCTCTGTTCATTCTTGAGGAGACCGTACGACATTCGCTACCGTAAAGAAGGACATATATTACATAGCAATTCAGTACTCTTTTTTGTTGTTACCAACGAAACCCTCCTTTTACGTTATACTCTGCCTAGCTTTTGGAATGTGTATTTGGCTATGCCAATAGATCTTCGAATTATATTGTCCCTTTTTCTCTCTTCTGTCAGAACACTTCCAAGATATTTAAATTTCCGCACCTGCTTGATTATAGTGTCCCCCTACCTGTAAATTGCATTTCGGGTTCGTCTTTTTTTACTGAGATATAACTGGAGACAGTAAAACCTCTGTGTTTGCTAATACTCTGCTTGTGGACCCAGACAAGGCTCTGAAGAAGAGTCTCGTATGCGGAGGTAGACAGCTACCCGACCCAGTGTATACAGGCAATTTTTGGCCTGAGCCTACACACTCAGAATCGCCCCACGTTTAAAACTGGCTTGTGCCACATCCCGCCTCGTGGGGAGATAAATACCGTGATATAATTGGTGTTGGTTTACTTCACACCTTAGTGTATAAAATATCCTGTTTTAAACTAGTACCACGCTTAGGCTGGTTTACACCCGCTTTTATTATTATTGCCGACTGTGATACTATGAATGGGATACCACCATGGAAGGAAAAGTGTAATCTTATCTCGATCTCAAATGTTTCTCCTTCATGGCTAGTGGATGGAGCTTTTTAAAGTTAAGTTTTATAAGCGTTACCCACTTGACCGAAGAGGAAGAAAAGAACAAACAAATGATAGAAAGCATTTGGTGGCAAGCGACAAAAAACCGGACATTGATTGATTCCGGTTGCTGGTGTATATTAACAATCATGCTTGGGATCGAAGGAGCTAGTTCTGGTCCACCATTGGTCATAGCCCGAACGTCCTTCGTGTAGTTCCAATGCCGTCTGTTCGTATTGCCAGTCAAATGTCGCGGGTATGTAGATGACCGGAGAGTTGGCAGGACGGGAGAGCTGAGCTGTTAGACTGATATGGCAGTTGTCCCCAGTTGTTACCTTTCTGCACAACCTGACCGAGCAAGCGAAGCCTCGAATAAAAAAAAATATTTTATAATAATGGAAACAGGGGTTGCGTTATAGTTTCTCGATGTGGCGCAAGTTTTCTTCTTCATTACCTGGTGAACGTGCAGCGGTAGTTCCTCAGCTTTCGGCGCCTAACGACCTGAACGCAAACGGAAACGCAGCGTGGAGATTAATTTTTCCGGCCGGTGAAAAGGCTGAGACAGGGACCCCGGTTGAATGTTTACACAGCAATTGCTTTTTTTCTCAACTAGAATGTTATATGATAGCTCCAGCCTACAAAGTGATATACTTCCCCGGCATTTTTGCCGGGAAGGCTTCAAAATAATATAAAGCCCTAAGGGCCATTTCCCCCAGTCAATAGTTCCTTCGGGAGGAGGCTGGGGTTATTGTCCGGCGTATGAGGCGTCCCCAAAAATGGGAATGTGCCGAGGGGGCTTGAGCAATTTTACCATGGTATTGACGTTAAACCCACTTAAAACTGGCCTTGTGTCACATTCGGTAGCGATGTGGGCGCACTAAAAACACGCGTATCAATCTACAAACTGGTAATGCTGGCAGATTTGAACGCCTTCAGCAGTAATTAGGTATCAATGTTTCTAGAAAAGAATTAATCTCTATCTATAAAAGGCAGGATCTCTGTGTGTGTGTGTGTGTGTGTGTGTATGTGTGTGTGTGTGTGTGTGTGTAGCGAATGCACGGCCGCAATTTTCTACAGATTTGCACCAAAATTTACATGCACATGCTCAAGTTAGCGGGAAAGGCCAAGACCGACTTTGCATTTCCCAACTCCCATCGATAGTGAAAATAATCGTTTTTTTTATGCTTCTACGGCAGT